GAATGGTAAACAAAATTATACTGGAGAGAATATGGAGAGATTAACGGCCAAAGTCTGTAGCCTCCTGTTAACTGACACCATGCCACAATTACAAGTATATTAAATTTGTTCTGTACACAATCTCAATAATTTCCTTAGACTTTACACAGATGATAAGAAGCCGAATAAATAAACAATGGTACAATCTTATTTTGCACGAACTGCCGTTTTCGCTTTATTCAAAATGTTGAGCCTTAAATCGCAACTAAGAGATTCCAACGAAATCGTCTAATACAAGGAACGTTGAACATATGCGGACTGAAGCAAAACTAATTAGGTTAGCAGACGTCGGTGGCACAGTGGTTAGGACTCTCGCTGACCATGCACATGGTCCGGGGTTCGAGCCCTCGCCGACGCACACTTGATATCTATGGTCGGCCTGCGAAATTTGGGCTACCGATATCCACGCTGAAAACTCCATACTTGTACAAAAAGTACGGTGTGGGGGTTAAGCTGTAATCAAAAAAAAAAAAATAACACTTGACAGGGTTGGATGCAGTTCAATCAAAGTAGAAAAGAAATCAGGTCCACATCAGCAAAAGGAAAAAGGAATAAATAGGTCATGGAGACTCAGTAATAATTAACATTCCTGCATTCTCGTAAAGGTGGAGAAAATTCGGTCTAATTATGTCATACCTGAACATCAATCTGGGGGATTTCTAAATGCTTATGTTGCTCAAACCTTCATCAACAGCTGTCTTCGCTCAAGATCAGGTGGTCGGGCAGAAACGATCAGCAACAACGATCTCTGGCAATAAGCGAACCAACCAGGAACCAGTTTTGCGAGAAATATACAGGAAGGAATGTGGGCGGATTGGCCATAACTCTGAGAAAACAAAACACCAACTGATATCATAAGACAGGCCGGCGAGTGAAATCTGAGCGGAAAGCGGTGAGTTGATCGTCCAAGGGTGACTTGGACGAGGTGATGTGAAGAGTAGATGGAAGCATGTGAGTAGACGTGGAGCCAGGTGATGAAAACGTTGGTGGAGAACCGAATGCAATGGAGAAGTGCGGCTGAAGCCCTATGTTCCTCTAGGAACTAGAGGAAACAATAATAATATGTTGCTCAGTACAAAATTTCTTTATTATTTTCAATTCGAGTATGGAAATAAATTTCTCCAATTCTGTATTAGTTGTTAACCGTATTTATGACGAAAATAGCAGTTTATATTCTTGAATGCCGACATTGTAGATAGTTACGTTTTAAGGCGAAAGAACTTGTTGTACTGTTCCTAGTGGAACATAAGGCATCGAGTGTCAAATTTTCAGTAGTGACGATTTCGTTTCTAGGGTATGGCATTACTAACTTTAAGCCAAACATTCTTTCTTTGCATCGCAGGGGCATTATCCCTTAGTAAATCAGCCAAGGTCTAAGGGTGTATAGGCTGAGAATCAAACTGAGACATTCCACATACCTGGCAAGTATTTTTTTTATTTTTTTTTGATTGCAGCTTGATTCCACACTGTATTTTTGGTACAAGTATGAAATTTTCAGCATGGATATCGGTAGCCCAAATTTTGCAGGCCAACCATAGATATTAGGTGTGCGTCAGCAGGGGATCGAACCTCGGACCATGTGCATGGTCGGCGAGAGTCCTAACCACTGTGCCACCGACGCACAACCTGGGAGTACTGGACAGCTGTTTCGTCCTAGTTTGGGACTCCTCATCAGTACGCACCCACTGGGGTTCGAACCCAGGACCTTCTGGATACAAGGCAAGCTCGTAGACCATTGAGTCTACTATTGAACTGCAGACAGAAATGCTCCATCTCTGTTGACACATCGGCTCCTAGTATGGAAACTTTAGTCATGGTCACCAGTAGTGAAATCCAAGGTGTTCCCTGTGTCTTATTTACAACTCGTCATCTGAATGTATATGTATCCTGGCATTTTTCAGTTGACTTGTGTTCAGTTCCAATTGCAATGGCAGTACCGTCGCTAGTGTCAAATGGAATAAAATGCATTTCCCCGAGCTTCACTGCTACCCACCATCTAGCGTATAGCCATCTATTATTTCTCATAATCTAATCCAGTCGACCAAATCTGGTAATCTGCGGGAGGGGGTCTGTAAGATTAAATTTTCACTCTGTAATTCATTACATTACTTAAGAGGAAAATAATTTGTATATTAAAAATGTTTTTGCATTGCTCCTCTTCTTATTTTACTTCCACAGGTGATGACAAGAACATAGAGTTAATCGTTAAGGGTCTAGATCCAGACGGAAATAAAATAGTTCAAGAAGGTTCAGATATTGAATTGACATGTGAAGCAAGGAGTAAGTATCATGCGTGTAGTCATTACTTCATGACGCTATTTTGTATAAGATGGTGTTTTTGGTGCGATTTGCAGACTTTTCGTAGAATTGTCTACACAACTACATTGTGCAACTTTCAACCGTTTTCTCTATTGCTGTTCTTCAGTGAATAGTCAAACTGACAGTCTAGGACCTGTTGACATTTTGTCTCAAACATTTTCCCTCAGAATAACTGTAAGAAGTGCTATATATGCCCTGAGCAAGTTCACTTTTAATAGTTTGAAAAAAATTTGGGCATTGCGTATATGATATTCATCGTTATAATGGTTTTTTTGTATTTCCCAATGAATGAAAAACAAGACGATATTGTTTTTACTGACGTTTCGCTTTATAATGTTGCTAATAGCTTTATCAAAGTATTATCAAATCAAGATTTAGAAAATTTCAGCTTATATTACATAACAGCCTAATCATCCTTCATCAGCAAAGGGTAGTTTCCACCTTGTCAAGTTGGCCAATTAGTAAAGATAACAAAATCAAGTGTATATTGTTGGATTTGATAAGTGTATAAAATTATAAAAGCAGCGTGTGCTTACACAATGAAATTGCTTATCACATTCATGTTGATTTTGTCATTTTTATGGGGTAGGAAGGTGTTGTAACTTTACCAAATTCTGTTTTGGTCCATCATTCCTATTCAGACAATTCTCTATCTAATTGTGTCTATAAAATAAAATGCTTGAGATGTGATGCGATATTCATCATATATATAATAAACATCACAAGAAATCAAAATCAGAAGAAATGAACACTGTAGAGCCGCATCTGTTCGACCACCGAGAAATCCAATTGAACTAGAGAAGCTTGAAGAATCATCAGTCATAGGCCGTCTCCACGCTACACTATAGAATCTAGCCACAAAACTGACTATGACAATACTGAAATAATCCAGAAAAAATTTCAGAAAGTGAAATCTATATTGTCTGAATAGGGATGACTGACTAAAACAGAATCCGACCTGGCTACAACATCCCCTTCCCCCATGAAGTGGTAAAATCAACGTGAATGTAAACACACGATACTTTTATTATTTTACACACTTATCATATCTAACAATTTACGTATGATTTTGCTATCTTCACCAACAGAAGACAAGGCCCAGGCAACAGATCATTTTATTACGGAAATCAGCACGTATTTATATAAATTTTACATACATTATTATAGCCTAGTCAAGTAGACAAACGCAGTCGTCTGACTGGTTGTTTTCGAGTTCCTCGGAAAGTGGAGCCATCTATCTGCGAATCATATTTGCCCACGTTTAAGTTTGCTGTGATTGGTTGTTGAAGCAGCCTTGTTCATATTTCCTCACGGCCCATATTAGTGACCTAGACATTGACGTAGATTAATGTCAACCAATTGGCTAGCAGGATGCTCTCATTTCATGCTGATGAATGATGATTAAGTTGTTATGTATATGCTGAGATTTTGTGAATTCCGGTTTAATAATACCTCTTTGATAAAGCTATTGGCATTAAGTAGCGAGACATCAATATAAACAATACTGTTTGGCTTTTTTCATTCATTGGGAAGTACAAGCAAAACCTTATATATTATAATGAATTTCAGAAATACTGTTGAAAAGCTTTAAGCGTAAATATACTCAATAGTTTATAAGCATTGTAAATCGAAATGAGACTGAATATCGCTTCTAATTCATAGAACATCCCGTGAACACTCAGTTTGACTTTATCACAATAGTAATATCATAAATGCTAATAGTTTTCACGTCAAATGGTATATACTACTTACTTATATGAGTAGCTGGAAATCACTGACATCAATCAGTATTGATTGTTTGCCGGATTAGAGTGATGGAAGCACTCAATGAGCATGTTACTCGTTTGGACCCCGAGATAATCACCTCTTTACGTGGTCTGACTTAGCTCAGAAAGCTAAATCAACTGGATCCACCTTAATTCTGCCTAGCTAGTCTTAAGAAATGGTGAAACACAGAATCATATTCGCAGTCTACAGAGTTTGAAGCAAGAACTCAACAGGGTTTAATTTACAAAGCTAAATTTTTCAGATAAAAGCTTATGATCTGCCTAACACCATGCAGGGCAGTCACGAAAGTAGGCACAGTGGTATAAACTACTGTTCAGTACTAACTTTGAACCTATTGTGACTTTTACCCTCAAATATAAATGCTACTCCGAAGCTATGACTTTTATAAGCACTTCTAAAAGAAAAAAAATCGTGTGGCAGAGATGTTTGGAGAAATTCCCAGAATTCATAAGGCAGCCTGAAGTCAATAAAGGTTCTGTAAGTAGAGAAGAATCCACTGAGTTAGTCATCCTTGTATTTAGTGAAAAGAGCCGTTCGAACATTCATCAATATGTCTGTTTTTCCAGCGATATTGTCCCATGAGTTTACTGTTATCTCAAAGGTGTTACAATTGTCAACTTGGCGTTGGAGGATGTGCTACTATCGACTAGGAGAGACTTTCATCTAAGTTAAAATATAATATATAGAATTCCTGAACCTAAGCGCAATGTATATAGGTATTAGTATTTTAACTGTCATACTGTTTAATCTTTTCTCCGCATAATTAGATACAAAAACTCAAGAAGTTTTAAAGACGATAAAATCCTACTTGGTTGGCAATTCCTTGATCCTGAAAAACATGCCTATTTAACACCATGGGTGAGTAATGGTCAGTTTAGTGGGAATAGTTTACAACTCAAGAAATTGAACTACCTGGTGAACAAGATAATCGTTGGGATGTTTGGGGTTATTGTGTTGGTGATATTAGAGATGGAGATCGTGTAAAACACTATCAATCGGATCCATTTAATTTAGTTGTAACAGCTGGAGAACCAGTTAGTGAACCTAAAGAAATACCATCAGCAGTCAAAGAGGGTAAGTAACTTTGCAGTTGTACTTTGTATACATAATTCATTGATATGTCCTAATAATCTCTCTCATTCGACAGCTTTGACCGCGAAGTAATTTGGAAACTACTCGAGTACTACGGAGTACCCGAAATATTCATCAACACTATCCAACAGCTGTACGACAACGGTATATGTCAAGTGCTCCACAACGGAAAACTCAGGGAGGCGTTTGGAGTAAACACAGGAGTCAGACAAGGCTGTCTGCCTTTTATCACCAATGATATTCATAATTGTGGTGGACTGGATTATGCGTCAGATAGTGATTGGGAAACGAGAAGACAGGGAGGGATATCCTGGACCGACCGACGTGAAGAACCTAGAAAACCTGGATTTCGCGCGTGGATGATTTATGCTTGATGTGACACAAATTCGAAGGCTTACAAGTACAAATTGACAAGCTGGTCGAACAAGCAGTCAGCGAAGACAGGACTCCAGGTGAACATAGACAAGATGGAGGTTATGAAAATAACCAACCAACAACAGCAACATCCAGCGCGTCAATCAACATCAACGGGAGGGATTTGAAAGATGTTACTTCATTCACTTATCTAGGGAGCATTGTCTCAACTACAGGAGGAACGGACGAGGATGTCAAATCGAGCGAGAATCGGGAAGGCGAGAAACACATTCATCAGCTCTATATTAAAATCAGATGGCCGGGTTGGAAAGAATCACCAACAAGAAACTATGGGCACAAACAAACAAAACAAGAACCAATCGCCACCAACAAATATGCAGGAGAAAGTGGATTGAGATGGATTGGACACTGGCTGAGGAGGCCGCTGGGTGACATCGCGCGTCAAGTCCTCGAGTGGAACATGAAAGGGAAGCGGCGTGTGGGACGTCCAAGGGTGACATGGAGGCGGTCGTGTGAAGAGGAGTTGAAAGAATATGGACTAAGTTGGATGCAGGCGAAAAGTATAGCAGAAGACAGAAGAAAATGGAGACGTGCATTTGAAGCCCTATGTTCCACTAGGAACCCAAGGGAGCAATAATAATAATAACTTTGATATTGATGTTGATTATATGTGAATTTAACTTGTATTCACCTATCTAACACTTTACATTTTTTTATTTCTTTCTACCTACCAAAAGGTATCTTTGTTAAAGTTAAAGGTATTACAGACGACAAATTATTTGTTGCAACAGAAGGCAGTGATTCTGAGTTAACATGTCACGCCATTGGTAAGTTTCATTAATTTTTCATTTCTTCACCTCCTAACTTGACCGTAGGGCTTTAAGGTATGAGCTGTAAATTTTCATGATTGCTAACCTCATGCTCAACCTTCCCTCATTACCCGGCTTACTAACGTCTCAGGGATAGGAGTATTTCTACCGGCGGCCGAAACTCGAAGCACATGAATGATAGGCGAGCACTTAACCACTCAACCGCTGATACCCTTTATTCATTTTAGTCTATCATTACTGTACATTTGAAACAATTTTATATTTTAGAGTGTCTAGTTTGTAAAGATTTAGTCGACTTTAGGAATGATTTTATCACAAAAAAGACATCAGTTAGCGAACCAGTGGAATCTAGAAAGTGGTGGAGGTGTGTTTTGTCCTAGTCTAAGATCTTTAAGGTTGAAAAAACACCACATCACTATTCAGATACCAGGTCACTTTGAGTTCAATAGTCTATGAACTCTAGCTTTCATCAGCGCACAATTTAGTCCTACCATCGACATTATTTTGTAGATGATGTTGGTTTTTTATCTTCTTTCTCTGTTAAGTCTTTTGGTTGACATAGAATTGAGTGAAGAGACTTTGTTGATTTGTGTGTGATGTCAATTCCTAATGGTTTAAAGAGTTTTGCAGTGATTTCTTGAACGTTCTTTATCTATGATAAGACTATTTTCTCTGTGCTTTCCTTGGAAGCCTTTGATTTGATGGGTTGGTCTGAGGGTAGATATCTTTTGACGAATTTTCATGTGTATCCATTCTTCTGGAAGACGTCCATGAGATATTTTTCTTCAATTTTCCTTAAGGTGGGAGTGTTGCAATGAGTCCTTGCCCTCTTGAATAGTGTTTGTAGACAATTCCCTTTGTGAGTTACTGGATTGTTGCTGTTGTTATTGAGTATTTTGCCTTCTGTGTGGGTTGATTTTTGTATAAACTTGAGTTTATGATCCCCTTGTGGTTGTTCACTTGACTAAGACGTCCAATAGTGGGATTTCGTTCTCGGATTCCTCTTCTCTTGTAAATTTGATGTCGTCGAAAATTTTGTTTATTAAGTGGTGAGTTTTATGCAACTCGAAAGTGTCGTCTACGTAACTTAGCCAAATTTTGGACTTGGTTTTTGGCAAGATTATGTTTTTAAGTCCTTGCATCATTGCTTCTGCAGTCAAACCTGATATGGGCTATCTCATGTGTGTTCGTTTGACTTGTTCATATATTTGGCCGTTGAATTGGAAGTATGTTGTTAGGTAATAGCTTTATGCATTCCATCCAGCTTGTGTGTTGCATTTCTGACTGTTGATGGATGTGTTCGTCGTTGTTGAGTAACTGCTATATGATCTCTTTTGCCAACTTCCGTCCAAGTGAGATAAGTGATGCTGTGACATCGTAGGATGTTATTATTTTTTGGTCATAAATTTGGATGCCTCTGATTTTCTCTAAAAAAATTTGATAGCAGATTTGCTGAAGTGATCACAGGAATCCGTAAGCTTGGCAAATAAACCATCCAGCTTAGAGAAAATAACTACGTCAAAATATTAGACAATATAACTAATCTACGTCGAAATATAATCAAGAGAGACGAAGCAACTACATTTGGTAACTGCTAAGGATCTGATAGTCCTTTAAAGATTGAACCGAGTACTATTCAGTCCTTTATTAGAAGATTTGTCACAGTGTTTATACTTTAAGAGATAACAGATTTCTGAAATTTTAGCATTAATTCCCGTTTAGGATAGTTCTGTATTTTTTATGCCCAGCTTTAATCAAATCTCATTCACAGTTGGTAATTAGTTAATAAGTTATTCTCCGCATTAATTATAATTAACAGACTTCAATACTGGTCAAGAATATGTCGGCAGTAAAGTCACTTATGGATGGGATTGGCGTCAAATGGATGGCGAACCAGCAGATATCAGTGAGCTGGTTGATGTTTTAGAAACTGATGACAATAAAATCAAGCTATCTAATATCAAGTCTACTTCACCCAAGAAAGGTCGATGCCTGGTGACTGTATGGCCTGAAGACGGTGCTACTGATCAGCAACCAAAACAATATGCTTCTGAATTCTTCTTTACAAATATACAACCATTAGATGCGACAGAGAAACTAAAACCTGAGGATATCATTCCATTTGATGGTGAGTGGATTTCCCATGGGAAATTTCATTGTTCAAAACATTGAAAAATAATTACTTAGTATTATAAAAGGATTTCAGTATGTAAATCAGTGATATTTAGTAGATTTGTTTAGTGAATTCATTAGAATAGCCTTTAAATTCACCTTTTGATTTGATGAAAAATCGTTAAAATCATTTGGATTTGGTTTTTCATCACTAATCCAAAGGTCGAATGTGCTAAGACAACGGGCAAAGTTGAACTTACAGCACCACTAACAACCAATCAGCAAACGACCTTGAACGGACCAATCACATGAAAGAGGGATGTTTGATTATGGAAAACGTGTATCTATGGAAAAAAAAGCATTAAATAGAGGTAATCTTTCTCTAACATGTGAAAGAAACATCTCGCAGTTAAGCAAAAGTCTGTCAATAGAGAATTCACACCACATTCTGTACATATATTCATCCAAATGACTATAAATGACATCCTTTTCTGATTCATTTATAACCCTAATGCTACTTTTCAACCTCTCCCAAAATCCTTCATTAGATTTTGTGTGTGTCCTCGTAATAGGATATACAAAATCACTGGAATGGTTCACTCTATGATGAATATATCCAAGAGACGGCAGAGAGTTGTAACCTTCCGATTCATCCGTATGTATTATTGATCCCCCGTTTCACAAGTCTGGTAATAATAGGTATTAGAGCAGTTGCCTTTCTATCTGCTATTCTTTCCACGAATCGTTTTCTGAGGGAGATGTCTCGCTGAAGACCACGGTTGTATCTTTTCTTCAACAGCACAGTTTCGTCAACGTGTACAACAATGTCCTCTCCAGCCAACAAAGAAGTAATTTTCTCCATTTTTCACGATGCAATGTTTCTGCAGTGCTTATATCGCTAAACTGTTGAGACGAGGCTATTCTCAGTTTCAGCATCTGCGTCTCTCACCGGCTGTTTTAAGACCCAATAGTTGCAAATATACAAAAATTGGCGTTAAGGAGTGATTCGGCCTTGCAAAAAGGTTCCTACGGAATATTAAAATTATCAGCTTAGCTTCTCAAATGCTAACTCGTCTCAAACAAATTGCACAACGATGGACATATCCATCAGTCGACCTGCTAAAGCTTTTTAAAGTCATCACACCAGTGCACGAACAAATTCTCTCCTTCCTAATCAACTCTAAATTCAGGCAATACTGGAAAACATTATCCGCCTCGAATTGCAGCTGTATCTTCGTTAGAGGCACGCATTTGAAACGAATCAAGCGCTATATAACATTGAACTCACATTCATGAATCTCATTGGATAATTCGACGTCGTTAGTTGATCGGTAGTTAATGGTGCTTAAAGTTTAACTTGGCCAGACAACATCTGTTAAATGCGTGTCATTCATGAAGATATTTTGATTCACTCCAATGATTACCAGGTTCACATTGTCTAAGATATATTTGGCTTTCCTTCCACTCAGGCTTTAAAATGTTCCCTGAATAAAAAGATCCTCAGACAATTGGGGAATAATGCAGTATTATAATATTACAGTGGGTGAAATGTTTTTGAAGCTGAAGCAATTCAAGAAAGAATCAAAGATGATACTTCCCTTTAAGAAGTGTACCTAGTTGAAAGCATATTTGTAGAGATTTGGTTTTTAATCCTCAGTAAATGGACCCGACTACCTCGGGGTAGTCTTTCTAACGATTGTGTAACTCTTGAAGGATCTTAATCGTTGAGAAATTTCAACATGTGCATAAAATAGCTGACAGTTTTCAGTATTTATCACGTGAAGCGGTTATTTCTGGTGTGATCTCAACATTATAAATCAGATCACAAGGAATATTGGATAAGTATAAACTTTGAAGTAAGCTTTGAAGATGTTGTCTAGAAGGACTATGAAAGCTTCGCAGTTAAACCAACCATTTTAAGAAAAAACAACAAAAAAGCACAATCATATCAAAAAGTATCCCCTGTAGATTCCTGGCCAACACCAACATCTGCAACAACAACAGACAACAGTCAGCCAGCATAAATGGGAGGAACCTGAAAGAAACAACCTCCTTAACCTACCCACCTACCTAGGAAGCATCGTTTCAACTACAGGCGGACGGAACTGACGAGGATATCAAAGCGAGAATCGGAAAAACAAGACAAGCTTTCATTACTTTTAAGTCTGTGTGGAGGTCAACAGCACTCAGTATCAAAATTATGATCCGAATTTCAACTCCAATATGAAGTCAGTGCTACTATACGGATCAGAGACTTGGTGCCTCATAAAGAGCATGTCAAACAAACTCCATACCTTCATCAACAGCTGTCTTCGCTCAATACGCCGCTCAAGTTCAGATGGCCAGGCGGAAAATATCAGGAACAAGGATCTCTGGCAATGAGCGAACCAACCAGGAACCGATTGTGAAACAAATAAGCAGGAAGAAATGGGGTGGATTGGCTGGCCATACTCTGAGGAAACCATCAAGTGACATCACTAGACAAGCCATCGCTCGAGTGGAACCCGATAGGGAAGCGGCAAGTTGGTCGTCAGCGCTAGGGTGCCTTGGAGGAGATCATGTGAGGAGGAGATGAAAGCATGTTGGCAGACTTGGAGCGGGGTGAAAAAGTTGTCAGAAAACGGAAGGCAATGGAGGTCCGCAGCTGAAACCCTATGTTCCTCTAGGAATTAAAGGATATAATAATATAATAATAATTCCCTGTTATTCACTGTAGCTTTCAGGTTGGTATATTTTAGCTACATAAACCAAATCTATATAAATGTAACTTATGGATGGTAACTTAACACCTTATAGTCAGTCTTTGGGAAATTCTATGATATTCTTAATATTTCCCGAGTGTATTAAACTGAATCTTCAATGGCTAACAATTCGAATTCTGTCAAAAATCAGACTTACATTTCAGCTATCCATTTTAGAAAAAAAAAGAATTTTTATGATTCAGAAAGTACTTATTTTCGGAGAATCCATTCACTATAGATGAACAGTTGGAACTGTATACCCCCTCCTTTAAGAATCCGCTCAATAGTATCCACACTTAAAATACATTTTAAACGTGGAATTGTTGACAAACTTTTTGCATAAACGACGAAAGGCCATGAGACGTAGAGAAGTGGTATAAAATTCTTCTGAATACAAAATTCCAGCTTCTCTTTTTTTTAATATCTAGAATTTCCGCCATGCAGTTTTGACGTAGACACATTGATTTTGACAAGGTATTTTCCGCCCTATAGATAACATTGAAGAAAGAGAATTTTAAGATGAAGTGACCAGTATCAACACGATGTTCACTCATAGGATTTCATAGAGATCCACTTCTATTTGTCCATAATCACACAAGCTGGTGTTTCTACATCTTTTTCGGTAGAACCACCGTCTAACATTGAAACGATTTGCTCATATGGACCAGATGAACTGATACCCGTATTTATATATATATATATATGTATAGTGCCAGTGAAGTCTCAAATCTTGTACTTCAGGCTATTAGAAAGTAATGCTGGGTTAGATCTTTTAACTGATACTGTCTTCAGAGAGCTTGAATTCTGAATTCCTGAATACGATCAAGCTACTGAAGTCCAGCTGGGAAGGAAGCAGAACCAGACAGCATTCCTCTAGAAGGACTGAAGACGGCCCCAGAGATTACGGCAGATGATCTCATTCTATTACTGCAGAACATCTCGAAAGAAGAGAAAGGTTGCCTACTGATTGGAAGAAGGGCTACCTCGTCAAATTGCCAAAGGAGGATCATCTAGTTAGGTCTGTGCAAGAACTAGCGTGGAATAATGCTCTTGTCCACGCCAAGTAGATTACTGAGTCGCATCATCCTGGAGAGAATAAAGGATGCACTGACGAGGAGGAGTCAGGAATACACTGGACCACCGATGAGAAAACTCTAGAAGATCTGAATCTCGCAGGCGATATATGTCTAATGTCATACAAACTCGAAGACTTGTAGGCGATTACCAACAAACTGGCTGAAGAGTCAGGCAGCGAAAACAGGACTCAAAGTGAACATAGAAAAGACAGAGGTGATGAAGATAACCACGCACCAACAACAGCAACAACAGCAGCAACAACCAGCACTAATCATGATAACACGGGAAAGATTTAACAGAGATTGCCTCCTTCACTTATTTGGGAAGCATTGTTTCAACTACAGGCCCGCGGAATGGATAAAGATATCAAAGTTAAAATCGGAAAGGCAACAATACGTCTTCATCAACCTGAAACCAGTATGGAAATCATCTGCACACAGTTTGCATAAAGGAGTAGATTCGGATTTTCAACACCAATGTGAAGTCAGTCAATTCTTCTATACGGTTCAGAAACTTGCACTGCGTGTCAGTCTAAAGAAGAAGATTTCCACACAGGTTGCAAATTTTCATAGACAGCTGCTAACATCTCTGGCTCCATACTGAAGATCAAATGACCAGAAAGAATAAGTAACTAGAAACTATGGAAACAAACCAACAAGCAAGAGTCGATCGCTCAACAAATATGGAGGAGAAAAGATGGAGATGGATTGGGCATACACTGAGAAGACCATCGAATGACATCACACGCGTGTCAGGTCATTGCTCGAGTGGAATCATTACAGGGGTGACATGGAGGAGATCGTATGGCGAGGAGGAGGATGAGGAGGAGTCTGTCTGTCTGTCTGTTTTCGACATAAAACTTTGCACAAATGTGCGGAAGTTCAAGTCTCCACACTCCGTATAGCACGCGAAGCAAGAGAAGAAAGTACAAGAAAAGCATAATAGAAACTGTGAGCAGAGGGGTGAGACAAAGGAGGAGTAATAACGAAGAACAAAACAGTTTCATTGTAGATCATAAGTCACAAGGAGTGGATGCATCTGCGCAGCCACTGAGAACGATTTTGAGACATGTCACCAATTGTTTCCAACCATAGATTTTTACCGTCCCGAGGACCCCAGCCTGGAAGTCTACACCTTTCTACGTGGCTTAGACCAACTGTTGTGGATTTCATTGACTGGTGCCATGTTTTTGTTTGAC